AAATGCTGGCCATGGTGGAGAGCCCTGCCGAAGGTCGTTGCGGGATCAAAGACTCCGAAGCACACCCCCGGTGCGGTTTTGGAGGTCGCCGCGGTGATCGCGGTGGCCACATATCGGGGCAAGGTGTGTGCGTCAAGGAGTGGCCCGCCCCTTCCTGGCCCCCTCCCTCCCTCTACGAGGCAGTAGTGGCCCATCCTCATCGTCATCGTCGTTGTCGTAATCGTCATTATCATCATCACCACCATCTACAACAACACAATTTCAGCCAGCGTGGCCCTCCCGCACAGTGTGTGTGTTCCAGCAACCGATATGTATACACCTATGTACAACTATGTATGTATATATATATATGTATTGTATATAAATGTGTGTGTACGTGGTGCTATCAGGTTGCGCAATCTTTGTTGTGCTATCCATGTTGTGCGATGTATTTGGTGCAACAAATGAGATGCAACCTATGTCGTGCAACATGTGCGTTAGCAGTCTATGTGACGCAGTCTATGTGGTGCAATATCGTTGTGCAATATATGTGTGGTACAAACTATGTTGTACAATCAGCGTTGTGCCATCTATATGGTGCAATCAATGCGATGCAGTATATGTTGTGCAGTCTATACGGTGCAATCTACTGGTGCAATCTATCTAGTGGAATCTATGTGGTGCAATATATGCTGTGCAATCTATGTGGGGCAACCTATGCGGCGGCGACGGGACGACGACGGCGGCAACAAAGCCGCTAGACGGCTGGCGGCGACGAGGCGGGGACGAGGCGTCGACGATGCGGTGACGGGGGGGCGACGGCGAGTACATAGCCGCCAGACCAAGTGTCAGGCCCAGTTTCCTAGACAAGAAGTAAGAGCCCCTAGGTGCAATTTGCTTGTGGAATCGAAGCAACAACCAGTTGTCAATGTATGTCCAATAAAGGGCAGTCAAGTTTCTCTGGTTAGGGGTTCATCATCACACAACCAACACATCGGCGTCACCCCAACATACTGATACTACATGTGCGTCGCCCTCCCCCCAGGGGCGACGCGCGCACCGAGAAATCTTACAGTACATGCGTCGTGGCGGGTGCTTGCTGGCCACACCGCTCGGGAAACGATATGCTACTTAATGGGTATAATATATGTTCGGGTCGGACGCGCGCCTCCAAGGAGGACACGTATGGTGGGGGCGTTGGTTAAGGAATAGTCCCAGGAGGCGCCAGACCCTGAAGGATTCCTTATCTGATGAGGACGGCGGCGATTTCCATGGCCGAGCCCCGATTGGAGTTCTACCGGCCTCCAGACCCTGGGTTCCTTATCGAAGGCCTCCTTATCCAACGCCGTCGCCGTAGTATGGGTATGTCCCTGTGCGTCCCAGACACGGGGAGGGAGGAAGGGAGGGAGAGGGGGGGAGGAGGAGGAGGAGGAGGAGGAGGAGGAGGAGGAGGAGGAGGAGGAGGAGGAGGAGAGGAGGAGGAGGAGGAGGAGGAGGAGGAGGAGGAGGAGGAGGAGGAGTTGGAGGAGGAGGAGGAGGAGGAGGGGCTGCTGCCGGCACGCCGGCCGCCCAGCCAGGGTGCCGCCCGCGGGCAGCGCCACGCCAGCGGCCGCCAGCCCTGCGGCGGTGCAGTGTCGCTGCCTCGCTGCCTGCACGATTCGCTCGGTGTGGAGATCGGCTGCGAGCAAAGGGGGGGAAAACGAGAAGGAGAAGGCCTGCTCAGAGGGCGGCGGGACTTCTCAGAAGCCCTCGCGCCTGCTGAGAAGCGTGTTTCGCCTTCGGGGAAGGCTTCGAAAACTGCTGACAAGGCCGGGGGACTTCCGAACCTTCTGAGAAGGCCTTCCCCTTCTCACTTCCCCCCCTCGCTCGCCGCCGAGTGGGGACACGTGCGTCGGGCGATTGTGAGCCGCTCCAACGTTTCCAATTCTTTGCGCAGGCGTTTCTTATCTTTGGAGCGGCGTGCACTGCAAACGCGACCGTGACACGCAGAGCGCATTACTTGATTCAGAATCGTGTTCGCATGTGGCAACGTTCGCTCAGCATCAATCGCACGCATTCTCGAACTTGAACTCACACCCTGCGTCAACCGTTTCACAATTGAGCGACGCAGAATAACGAGGTCGTCTTCGCCGACATCGGCGCGCAAGCTCCCCGCGTAAGGTCGCGCGTGCGCGCCTTTGCTTCCGATGTGGCGTGCCGCGCTGGCGGCCCGCGCAAGCCGCCGCGTCGTGTGGCCATGCCATCTCGCGTAAGACTCGTCTTTGATCGCCGCTCAGTTGCACGCGCGACACCATCGCCCCCCCCCCCCCCCTCCTCCCCCCCCGCCCCCGCCCGAAGTACCGTGCTGGGCGGCAGCGAGTCGGCCCACTGGCCGCGAATGCGCAGCTCTGCACAGCCCGAGGCAGGGAGGGTGGCGGGGAGGGCGGGCACGGTGTGCCCCTTCTCTGCCTTGGCCCCTGAGCGCGGTCACATTCAGCTGGAAACCAAAAAGCACAGACACAACTGATCGTCGATTCCCGGAGGAGGAAACTTATTTTGCTTCGAGCGATCCCCACCGAAGTCTTCGGCGTCTGGCCCCGAAGGTGCGCGCGCTCATTCTTCTGTCCTTGTGTGCCATCTTATGATCTGCCATGTTGTGTTGTGAGGTGTGGTGTTATGCTATGTTCAGTGTGGTCAATTATGGCATCGCTCCATGGTGTTATGCGATGTTATGTTTTGAGATGCTAGATCATGTTCTGCCGCGCTCTGTCATGTTATGCTTTAGCACTGTATGTACTGATATGGGTTGTGGTGCTGTGTTATGGTGCTGCCTATTCTGATATGATATAGTATGTGATGCTCTGTTAAGCCATGCTCTGCTACGTTATGCTTTATCTGCTTTGACATGTAATGGCATGCGTTGTCATGCTGTGCTGTGCTATGGTGTGCAATGCCATGTTATGTGATGATGTTGCTTGCTCTGCTTTGGTATGTCCAATCAATTTGTTGATTTGTTATGGTATGCGTGGTTTGTCATGCTATGTAATGGTATGAGCTGTGATGTTATGCTATGGTATGCACTGATCTCTCATGGTGTGTTATGCTACGATCTGGCCTGCCATGATCTGGTATATAATGTTCGGATACGTGCTGTTTGGTTGTGTGGTGTTGTGCTCTGTTCTGTGGGGGACCTGGGGATCTGGCGGCCGCGGTATGCAGAGTGGGCGAGTCGGCGCGTGGGGCGGCACCCTCAGGGATTATCGGGGGACCTGGGGATCTGGCGGTCGCAGTGTTCAGAGTGGGCGAGTCGGCGCGGGGGGCGGGACCACCAGGGATTATTGGGTGACCTGGCGATCTGGCGGCCGCGGTATGTTGGGTGGGCGGGCCGCGAGGTCTGCATGTGAGATCTAACGACCCCAACCTCTCGGGCGCGGAAAATGGAGGAGGAGGAGGAGAGGGAGGAGGAGGAGGAGGAGGAGGAGGAGGAGGAGGAGGAAAAGGAGGAGGAGAAGAAGGAGGAGGGGAACATCGCTTGGAAGTTCCCGGCGGGGGAGGATCAGGAAGGAGGAGGAGGAGGGGGAGGAGGAGGAGGAGGAGGAGGAGGAGGAGGAGAGGAGAAGGAGGAGATCGACCTGTGGAAAGCCAAGACTCCTCAGCGAGGTTTGAATGAACCCTCCCGCAAAGCTCCCTCTTCATAGGCCCCTACAAGGGTTCATTTCCACTGAGGGAAGTGCCCCGTTGTGAGACAACGCGTCTTGACGATCCTGAATCGTGCCAGAGCAGCATTCCTGGGATTTCAACACCGCGGATCGACGTAACTGTTGCGACCAGACAGTCCTGAATCCTTCCAAAACACCATGTCTGGTACGTTGACCATGGGAACCCGTGAAATACTCGCAAATGTTTGAAGCGAATGTGCGCGGCGATAAGTTGAGAGCCACGTTTTGAAAACGAATCGCTCTTTATTCGTGAAGCCAGTGCAATGTTTTAAGACGAATGTGCGCGGCGCAAAGCGATATCCACAGTTTGAAAAACGGCACGCCCTCCATCCGTGAAGATATTGCAGGTTGTATGATACATGCGCGCGGCGCTATGGCGAGAGGTACATTTTGAAAATGAGCCGCCCTTAATCCGTGAAGCTCTTGCACTTTGTATGACGAAGGTGCGCGGCGCTAAGGCAACAACAACATTTTGAAAACCACTCGCCATCCATCTGTGAGACTGTTGCCATGTTTCGAGTTTCAGGGTCATAATTATTGAGAAAGTCTCAGGCGAAACGCCCTGCCCGCCGTTTCGACCGGTCTCGGGGCGCGACGTAATATGGAAACGGAATGGAGGTGGAAAAAGAAGAGATGGAGGAGGAGGAGGAGGAGGAGGAGGAGGAGGAGGAGGAGGAGGAGGAGGATGAGGAGGAGGAGGAAGAGGAGGAGGAGGAGGAGGAGGAGCAGTTGGAGGAGGCCTCTTGGGAGCCTCTTGGGGCACTCGTGGGGCCTACTGGGAGCTTCCTGGGGGCCTCTTGGAGGCCTGTTGTGGGTCTCCTTGGGCCTATTGGGAGCCTCTGGGGGTTTCTGGGGGGCCTCTTGGGCCGTCTTCAGGCGTTCTCGGTTCGTCAAACGCCGTCGGAGGCCGCCTTGGGAGCCTCTCGGAACCGACTTGGGGCCCTTTTGGTGTGCGTCACGGCCGTCTTGGAAGCCATTGTGGGGGTTTGGGAAGCCTCTTGGGCCATCTTGAGGCCCTCTTGGGGCCGTCTCGGGGACCTGCTGGGCCGTCATGGAGCCATCTTGGAGGCCGCTAGGTTCATTTGGAGACGATCTCGAGGGCCTGGCCGTCTTGGGCCGTCCGAAGGCAGAAAAGAAACATATGCCCAAATCCTTCAAACACTTAAGGACAATCAGTGGTTTTGGCCTCTTCGGGCCTTCCTGGAGGATCTCTTGGAGGCCTCTTGGCTCGTCTTGGAGGCCTCTTGGGGGCCTTTTGGGCCGTCTACCGTCATCTTGAGGCCATCTTGGGCCGTCTTGGAAGCTTCTTGGGCAAACTTGGAGACATCTTGGATGCCCTTGGGCCATCGTGGAGGCCATCTTAGTCTATCTTGGGCGAACATGCAGGCCATCTTGGCCGTCTTGGAGGTCATCTTGGGCCATCTTGGGACCCTCTTGGGGCCGCCTCGGGGGCCTCCTGGGCCGTTATGGACCCACCATCTTGGAGGCTACAAGGGTCATCTGGAGGCGATTTCGGTGAGCTCTGGAGGCCGTCTTGGACCGTCCGAAGGCCGAAAAGAAGCACATGCCAAATTTCTTCAACAACTTCAAGAACATCAGTGTTTGTTTGGCCTCGTCGGGCCTTCCTGGAGGACCTCTTGGAGGCCTCTTGACCCGTCTTTGAGGTCGCTGGGAGTTCTCTTGGGCCGTCTTCCGTCATCTTGAGGCCATCTTGGGCCGTCTTGGAAGCTTCTTGGGCAAAGTTGGAGGCGTCTTGGACGCTCTTGGGCCGTCGTTGAGGCCATCTTGGACTTTCTTAGGCCAGCTTACAGGCCATCTTGGCCGTCTTGGGAGGTCATCTTGGGCCATCTTGGGACCCTCTTAGGGCCGTCTCGGGGGCCTCCTAGGCCGTTATGTAGCCATCTTGGAGGCCGCTAGGTTCATTCGGAGACGTTCTCGAGAGCCTCTGAGGCCGTCTTGGGCCGTCCGACGGCCGAAACGAAACAACAGATGCCCACATCCTTCAACCACTTAAGGACAATCAGTGGTTTTGGCCTCTTCGGGCCTTCCTGGAGGACCTCTTGGAGGCCTCTTCGGGCCGTCTTGGAGGCCTCTTGGGGGCCTTTTGAGCAGTCTACCGTGGCGGCGGATGTTGTGGCCTTCGGCCCAAATCGCGACCGTGCCTCCGCTGTGGCTCAGAAGCTTTTTCTGTTCCTTTTCCTTTTCCTTTTCCTCGTCCTCTTTCTCTTTCTCTTCCTCTTCCTCTTCCTCTTACTCTTCTTCTTCCTCCTTCTCCTTCTCCTCTCCTCTTCCTGCTCTTCCTCCTCCTCCTCCGCCTCCTCCTCCTCCTCCTCCTCCTCCTCCTCCTCCTCCTCCTCCTCCTCCTCCTCCTCCTCCTCCTCCCCCCCCTCCTCTTGGAGGGCTCCTGTGTCCTCTGGGAGCGCCGTGTGGCCCTCGTTGGAGGCCTCCCAGGACCTATTCTTAAGGGTTTCCGGGGGGGGGGGGGCTCTTGGGCCCGTCGGAGGGGGGAAGGCTCGGAGTGTCAGCTCGTGCTCCCCCTCTTGGCGAAGCCCTCCTCCTCCTCCTCCTCCTCCTCCTCCCCATCCTCCTCCTTCCGCCCCCTCCTCCCTGCCCAGAATCTTTGGCACCCCATTAAGAAAGGGGGGAGCCAAAGCTCCCTCACTCCTCCTCCTCCTCCTCCATCTCCTCCTCCTCCTGCCTCTCCCCTCCTCCTCCTCCTCCTCCTCCTCCTCCTCCTCCTCCTCCTCCTCCTCCCTCCTCCCCCTCCTCCTCCTTCTCGTCCTCCTCCTCCTCCTCCTCCTCCGCCTCCTCCTCCTCCTCCGTCTTGCGGGCCCCTGGGGCTATCGTGGGATCGTCTTGGGCCATCTTGGAGCTCTCTTGGGGGCCTCATGGGTTGTCTTGGGACGATCTTGCGGGCCTCCCGGGCCGTCTTGGACGCCATGGTGACGAAGAAAACGGATCTGCAAAGCTTGTTTCCCAAGGGAATGGGAAGAGTTATGCATTTTGGGGCTCTCTTGGCGGTCCTCTGGAAGCACTCGTGGCTCGTCTTGAGGGCCCCGTGGGTCGTCTCGGAGCCATCTTGGACCGTCGTGGCGCTGTCCTGGGCCGTGTCGACGCTCTCTTGGGCTATCTTGGCGCTCTCTTTGGGCCCTCTCGGGCCGTCTGGGGATTGTTTGGAGGCTCAAGAGGCTCTGGGGGAAGCGTTGACGAGCGCATAGGCCCGCCTCCCCCCACCCCCTCAAACGGGATTTTGGACCCCCGGGGAGGGGGAAAGGGGGAGGGGGACAGACAATCATCTCGCACGCCTTGTCACCCCCAGCAGGCGGGGGGCGGCGAATTCAAAACCAGAGCCCATCGCAGGAGGGTTAGGAACAACGGTGCAGCACACAGAAACGTCATTCACCATCTGCTACGTCAGTACGGTTGGCGTTCGCTGTAGCGTGCGCCTCCTGTGCAGGACAAGCTCGTGCGGGTTGGTGGTCTTGCGGTCGATGGGGCCAAGCTGCTGACGCCGTTCGTGTCGACGGGCGCGGCCTTCGGCATCAACGCGGTTGACTATACCATTCGCTGCTGCGACTCCGCGGGTCCAGTTGCGCGACGGAGGGAACAGTGGTCGTCGCTGCCGACATTCGCGCGTAAGCTTCCCGCGTAAGGTCGCGTTCAAGTTCCCTTTTCCACAAGATGTGTACCGCGCTGGTGGCCCGCGTAGGCCGCGGCGAACGGTCGATACGTCTCCTTGCGTAGTGGCCGTTTCTTTTCGTCCTTCAGTTCGTCGGATGCCAACGTCGAGTATCCGAGGCGGGCCTTACCCATCACCACCGCCTGGGGGGTCTGGCTTCGAGGCCCTCGGCGGGTCGGTGCACATGGATATGTTCGGGTCCTTGGGGGGGGCGGGGCAAGCCTGTCCATACCTGCCGCCTGCCGAGGCCCCGCCTCGCAGAACATGTTGTCAGTTCCATTGGCATCATCAAGCTCTTCTTCATGAATATCGCGTTGCTGCGGCAAGCTCGTCACCAGACATATTCTGCCGACGGTATATATATATATATATATATATACACGATGCATGCGTGCCACAACACGGGGTGGAACGTGTTGAGACATCATAGGTTTGTATGATTATTTCCCCGCTTCTCCTGCTCTCGCTCTTGCTCCTGCCCCTTTCCCCTCTCCTTCTCCTCTGTCTGTTATCCCTCATGTTGCTCTTCCACATCTGAGATCAGTGACTGTCTCTAGCTAGCCTGAGCCACGTCCTTGGAAGTCCTTTCTCCTCATCCAGCTCCTCCTCTTTCCCACACTTTTGTCCGAGCCTGCGCTTCTCATAGGTCTCCGGCCCGTGGCTCCCGTCCTCGGGCCCGAGGACCGCGAACACATGGATCCGGAGCGAAACACCATCGGTGGGGAAAAGGCCCACCCCTTCCTCCTCCTCCTCCTCCTCCTCCTCCCCCTCCTCCCCCTCCTCCTCCTCCTCCTCCTCCTCCTCCTCCTCCTCCTCCTCCTCCTCCTCCCCCTCCTCCTCCCCCTCCTCCTCCTCAGGGGTCCAGCGCCACGTTTCAAATAAATCATATCCCTGGACTAGGGATGACGACGGAGAAGGAAGGGCGGTTACGCGCCCGACCGCGCCCGCACGACGCCGTTCGGTTGGTCAGAGCATGCGACGCGATGGTTGCTGGCGAGGTGCACTCGCGCGAGGCTCGCGGTTCGATGGCAGAAGGGCGCACGGCGAGGGCTTGCCGTCTCGGTGCTGGGGGCAGCCCGAAGGCTTGCGGGGCATCTGATCCTCCAGGATCCGGCCTCCCCGGCGGTGGGGGCGGCGGGCTTGAGGAAGTACGGCCAGTACGGCCTGGTCGGCCTCTTCTTCAACGGCGAGATCGCCGAGGAGCCGCGCCCCGGTGCCTCTGGGAGGGCGAGCAGGGTCATGGAGCAGCACCATATCTTCGCTGCAGAGCATACTGCAATGGAGTGGCGGCTCTGGATTCCCCGTAGTTTGTTCAGAGCGTGCATTACCTACCCCGCTTTCGCTTCCAGGCAAAACCAAGTCATACCACGCGCCTCCTCGTCAAGCGGCCTGACCAGTACAGGCCGTAGTTTGGCATCGCTTGGTATCTCTTGGAAGCGAGGGTGGTCAAAAGCGAGGTAGGTTTGTTTGCCCCCTATTGTATATCGTCGAGGCAGCACTGGTGGTGGGCAGCGTGCGTCAGTGCGCTTTTCTCCTGGCTGGCCGCGCGCCCCGACTTTGGCGCGGCGCCCGTCGCCGCTCCCCCGCCGCCGCTTCCCTGCTGCTGGGCATTCGCGCTGGGGTTGGCTGGCCTTCGCGCTGCTGCATCACTTCGGGCGCCCAAGCGGCTGTGTGCCCTGGCTGCGTACGACCGAAAAGTGTGCGTGTGGGTGTGGGTGTGTGTGTGTGTGTGGGTGTGTGGGTGGTTGTGGGTGTGGGTGTGGGTGTGTGTGTGGGTGTGGGTGTGGTTTGTGGGTGTGGGGGTGGGTGTGGGTGTGGGTGGGTGTGGGTGTGGTTGTGGGTGTGGGGGTGGATCGGTGGGTTGGTGGGTGGGTGGGTTGGTGTGTGTGTGTGTGCGTGTGCGTGTGTGCGTGCGTGCGTGCGTGCGTGCGTGCGTGCGTGCGCGTGTGCGTGCGTGTGCGTCTGTGTGTGGACCAGGCACCAACACGCAGCGGCGAGAGACTGGCGGGCCCAGCGAGAGACGGCCGAGCGTGCTGCACGGTTGGCGAGGCCCGTGAGAGCTGGTGGTGCCTCGGCCGCTCGGCCTCTGGCGAGAGCGCCGGTCGTCTCCGCTCGGCTCGGGCTCGGCCCTGTGTCTGGCCCCGTCTCGCGCAGCTTGGCCGAGGCCGGCGCGGCGCAAAAATAGCCTGGGCACCATTTGTTTTGTGTTTATCTTTGACCATTGTGGAGCATTTTTTGGTTTATTTCTGACCATTGTGGAGTATCCTTTGGGGTATTTTTTATTTTTCGTCCAAGGTCCCCCCTGTAGGGGGACACGCCCGACCTCATAGTAGGGTCCGTTGGGTTCCCGTCGTGCCGACGCGCCGGCGACCCCGCCGCAGGCGTCCAGGTCAAGCAGTGGCGAAGCGTCCCCTGGCTCGCCCAAAGCCCCACCAAACACTGTTCCCACGACATGCTCTTAGAACATTTCTGGCTGGGACCGTCTTGTTTTAACGCATCGGGTTGATGTTCTGAGAACACTGTGTTTGTTCTTAGAACATTGTTGGGTCCTAGGAACAGGTCGTGGTATGGCTATAGGAATGCCGGGACGGCCGGTCCCTGCTCAGCCAGGGCGGAGCGCCCGCCGCGCTCCCAGCATCCGCCAGTGTGGCACGGCCTGGCGATCGAGGCACCGCCGAGCGTCTGCCATCGGGTATATCTCAGAGCGTTTCGCTTCCAGGCAAGACCAAGTCATACCACGCGCCTCCTCGTCAAGCGGCCTGACCAGTACAGGCCGTAGTTTGGCATCGCTTGGTGTCTCTTGGAAGCGAGGGTGGTCAAGAGCGAGGTAGGTTTGTTTGCCCCCTCATATCGGGGGTGGACAGAACCCCCAACAGTGACACGTCGATTAGTGAATTGTCCGTTTTCGGTTCTCGAGGGGGCGCCGCGGCCGTCATTTTCCAGGCTCGCGCCCGCCAGGTTTGGGCCTCAGGTCGTTTTCACTAAACCACGTTTTACTA